CAGAAAGTCTTCATCCAGGTACACTCAATCTTGACAAATGATATTCTGAGACAGTGAAGTAATGGAATTTATCAGCAAAGCAATTTTTGCCAACATGTTATGAATGTAGTTGTGCAACACTGTGTCAAAGGTAAAGAAAAAGACGCTGCAGTAATCAAAATGTAGAAGAGCAAGAGCCAAGAAGTTAATTTTAGCTGGGTGAATGGGTAAGAAGAGCCACAGCTTCGGGATTTTTATACACAAAGAACAGGAAAGATTCAGACTTGACAGAGAGAGCTCCAGATGCCTACATCTAAGATAACATACAAGTTACAGATTTAGCAGCAGACAGTAGAGATTATTTGCTGCAGAAAACAAGAGTGGGAAAAGGAAAAAACATGAAAATTAAGTCATCCCTGATTAAATAGTGATTAAAGTAGATGTTACTGCTACCAACAATGTCTTTAGTCTTCCTCAACAGTTAACAGGCGGGTAGACCATTTTGAAGTTGATTTACGTTACCCCCAAATGGTGTATTGTATTATTTTTACTATATTAGGGGTTCAGTTTTTCTGTAGAGCACTTTGAGACTATGCACAGTACACTAACAGCTTCTGAAGTATAGGACATAGCATAGATCAAGAAAAATATATCTCTACAGCTGTTTTAAAGGAAATTGGACTACAGCAAATATAGAGAAGAGACTGCTCCTACTACATTTGATTACCAAGATGATCAAAAGCTACAGGTCAAAAAAGGAGACAAAGAGATAAAGACTGACAAACAGGATTCTCTGATTTCTTCAGGCTGTATTTTGCTGGACCCAACCAGACATCTAACATTCATGTTCCTCTGTTTATCTCAGTTTTGCTTGATTTGGATTCTGTGACCTCTTCCCAGACAGCTTGCACCTTTAACTGAGGTGAGAGAGGGGAGAAGCAAACTCCCACCCCCTCCAACACATCGGCCCAATAAACCCCTCAGTTGAGCACAATCTCACTTTACACAATATTTTTTGCAATAATATTGCATTGCTGACTCATTCGGTTTGTAACTGGTAATAACTCACAATCCCTTCTGGTATTATTGACTACTAAGAACTTTCATCACTTTGTACCCGTGCTCTGGTTATCTACCTCACACATCAGCCATTCTACGAGGCTGGTTGGTTTGTTGATGCCGGTTCCTTTCTCCAATCACGTTATGCCTTCTAAACCTTGTTCTCTACATGCTGCATACCTGTTTGTCTCATGTTAGCTTAATGCTATTACCAAACTTAAGTTGAAATACTGTTCTTCACTGCATTTAAAACATTTGGTTTTTCAGTAGCTGAGGAATCCAGCATCAAAAAAGAATCAATAAAAGTATTAATCATAATTTTCCACCATCCCTGGCACCTGCATAACTTTAAAAAAAAAAATTATCTACTGTTTCCCTAATCTGTGTCCATTAAGCCTGTAAGCTTTTAGAGGGGGAAAGAAAAAGACAATGAAAATTTAAAAATGAAGATAGATTTTTATATCTTCTCCCCCTCATACCTGACTTGCCAACCATCAAATAAAACACCTTTCTTATTCTGCTGTACCTATGTCCACCTAAGGGTCAGCGAGGATAGCAGGGGAGAAGGAAGGGAGAAGAAACTGCAGAGAAACAACAAATAAAACATAAATCTTGCTTTGCCTGATGCACAGTTCTCTTTCCTGAACAGGAGCGCAGTATTTATTTCACTGTTATTTTGATGGCTGTCATCACAGCGGGCCAGAATCCTCAAAGTCAACTCTGCTACTGTTTCCAGGCAGTCCAAATCTCTTTTGGAGCTCCCTTTCATGTAAAATGAAACATTCATTACTCCTCCATAGCTTCCCTCAGCACACATATTGACTCGAGGACTGCTTTCTCAGTTTTTCAGTACGACTGCATCATAATCCAGGTTTCCTAAACTCTGATTGTAATTTCTAGAATTTGCAAGCAAAACTGTCGTTTCATAGGAACTTCACTTGTAAAGAGCTACAATGCCTGAGACCAAAACCCCCTTCACAAACTAAAAGCAAACACTGGCTGCTTTTCATTTTGTGAAAGCATTTGACTACCATCAATCTGTGCACTATAGCTTCGATTTAATGAAGTCCTCTTAACTGTCTCTCTTCCATGGCTGGATTGGTTCCATTGACCACAAGACAAATGAAAAATGGCAGTGTGTTTTCGTATTTAAAATGCACTACTTAACAGGAAACAATCTGGTTCAGAGCTGTTACTTGAGAAAAGCAGGTTAGATTTTGCTCATGGAATCAGCACAGCTAGGTTTCTTCCCAAATGGGCAGAACTGATTTGTACAAAAATCCCCAGCCTCACTATATATCAGGTTTGTGAAGTATCTGTTCATAAGCACTCTCCATGCAGGGCCTTCATCCTTCGCACTCACCCGCTAAATGCAGCCTTTCATAGCGTACTATAATTTTCAGTTTGTTTCAAGAAGCATAAAGGCTGCGGGAAAAGGTGAAGCCTTTGCTCACGTGGCTTGAGGCTTTCCCTCCCTTTTGTTTTCTAGGACAAGACATGCTCCAAAGCCCCCAACACCGCTCTCTGAAGGAGTATCCAAGTTAACATATGCACGGCTTCAACACAGCCAGCTTAAATTTAAACATCCAAATATAGCTTTAAGTTAGGAGAATATGCATTCAGCATCTGAAAGGGCCCTATGCAAGGGAAAAATGGGGAATAAAAACCAAACAGGAGCAAAATCAGCGGAAGAAAGATGATGATCATCGCGTTCCTGACATAA